CACGGGGCGGTCCGTCACTTGGACTTCCGTGTTGAGACTCACGCCGTAGCCCGCCGACTGCCCTGGCGTGGCCGGCACGGCGCCGGTCCCGAGGCGACTCGTGAGCGGCCGCCCGCCCGACGACTGCAGCGCCGTGCGCTGGCCCGTGCCCGGGCGCGCGTTGATCGCGTTGAGCGGCTGGTTGCCCGTGCCTGGTCGCTGCCCCGTGCCTGGTCGCTGTCCCGAGCTCGTGCCTGGTCGACCCGACATCCTTCCGTGTCCCTTGGCAAAAAGATCGAAATGACGCGATCCGGTTGGCGGCGGCTGTCTGCTCTCGATTCGGCATCTTACCGTTTTCGATTCGGCATCAACACATTTGAACTGGCACATGCCGCTTGCTACAAATGTGCTCTTTATTTGTATTGCTCGCTTTCTATTGGACGCCAAGCGGCCACCAGGTCTGACTTGTGCAATCCGTCTAGCGACGAGTTGTACACTACATTAGGGCTAGTCTTGTGCTAAAATACACTCACTTGGTCTACAGCTATGCAGCATCTCGCTGGCTACAGCGTCGCTGCCCGGCTTCCCCGTCGTCCGTGGTCCAAGGATGGCACTGCCGAGCTCGCTGAGCTCTGAACCGTTAGCGCCAAGCCGCCTCACAGCTAGCCAGTCGACTTGACCGAGCCGCCGCATGCACCTGTCTCCAGCCACTACAGAAGACCATAGTAATGAACTGATGATGAGCCTCGAGACGCTCTCCGACACGCCGGACGCTGTCGACGAAGCCGAAGAGGACGACGACGAAATATAGCTCGAGAACCGCCTGTACACCGAGATGGACCTCCTCTCGACGCACGTACGTAGCACCGCGGCCTGCTCACACGTAGCTCATCTTGGTTGACGGTAGTATAATCTCTCGGTGCGTAGTGGCCTGCCTCGGCGACAACGAGCTCGATGAGCTCGTGCTACAGCGCACCAACTACCACGTCCTGGAGCAGGTACAGACGACGCTTTTGTTCGCTTGACGTTGGCATCCGACCCGATCATACAAGCCATTGAGAACAACCACACGCGTGTGGTCCAGACGCTTTTGACCTCGCCTCCCACGCATACCAACCAAGTATGTACGATGCTGCCTCCACCTCATCTACTTTATCCCGCCGACGCCGGCATGCGATGGAAAGCTCAACCTGATCTTTCAGTACGCTCAAGTCGCCGAAGCTGCGGTCGCTTTGCACGAAGGGCAGGAGACGTTGTGGGTGGCAATGCCCAACGGCGTGGCGGCGCAGATCCGAGCCGCGTTTGAAAATGGTTATTTCCACGCCAAGACGAACGTGCCCCTAGTTTTTGGGAAAGACTTGGCCGAAATCGCACGCACCTCGAGAGCGTCTTGACGTCTATGCGCAAGGGCCGCAGCCAGCGGGACTTTTGGGCCGCTTGCGGAATATCGCAAATAAGTAAGTGCGTGGCGGACCTCGCCAAGAACATGTGCCAGCTCTGGCTGCGTTCGGAGGGCGACCACGCGCACGGTGACCTTGTCTTGGAGCTGGCGCACCACAGGACCATGGCCCACGCAGCTCGGCGAGATGCAAGCGCTTGTCGCGTCGTCCCATGAACAAGCGATGGCGGCCATGACCGCGCAGTTCGAGACGCTCAGACGACCACGCACGCGCTTGAAGGGTGATATCAAGACAAAGCAACAGACAATATTGTATGTTTGTGGGTTTCAAGTGTGCAAAACTGCATCTAAATACGGCAACGAAAACAGAAGATATAGACGAGCGACTAGGGCAGCGGTGGCGCGTCGCACGCCGAGAGAAAGCCCTCCCAGAGCAGCTTGTCGTCGAGGAACGCCGCGAGGTCGTCGGTCGCCTCGGGCAAGTCCCAGCTGTGGTCGTCAAGCGTAAAGACATCGCAGAGGGTTGTCGACGACGTCGGGAGGAAGTGCATGCACTCGATCGCAATGAGCTTGGTCTCGTTCGCCGCCGGATGCTGATGGTACATGTCCGTAACCAGGTGTTGGTCGTCAAAGGTGAAGACATCGGGGGTGTACTCCGTCTTGATCGTCGTTGGGCTGTTGCTGGTATTGTTGCTCTTGGAGGAGGTGGCGCTATGCGATGGCGATGCGCTCTGGGGCGACGCCCGCGGCGACTTGCGCACAACGTGGACAAGGAGCTCGGGCTGCGTGCGGAGGAAGCTCGGGTGGCTGAACGTGCACACGTTGGATTGCGTCTTGGTCCACTTGCGGAAGCCAAAGTTGTTGAGCTGGCGCTGGAAGCTCGAGGCCTTCTCGTGGTTGAAGTACTTGCGCAAGATCTCGGTCTCGAGGCGGCGCTCCGAGAGGATCTGGATCGCGCTGCCGTCGTGGGACCACGTGATGACGCTTGGGTCTTCCGTCTCGAGCATGCGGTAGAGGCTGCGGAGGAACTTGGGGATGCCCGTGATGCGCTTCCGCTTCAGGTCGTCCTGCATGTTCATGTGCGTACTGTCTGGCGACTTTGTAAATGATATCTCGCCACGTCCGCCGGCTTCTCCCTCGCCTTCCGCGCACCTTCTTTGACCTACGGTTTGTATCATATGCAAACTGCCTGTGGGCGTGCCACGTATACGCGATGCACGCGGATTGGCTGCTTTTCGATCTTCAACCGGCGCGCCTGTGAAACCCCTCGATTTTCGAGTGATTTTCAGCCGTGCATTTCTAAAATCAAGCCAATCACAGGGGCGTGCGGGACGACCCGCGACGCCGGCTGGGTAAAGGCAAGGCGCGTCTTGGCCAAAACGAGGTTCACGAGGTCCACGAGGCCGCCATGATGGACCTTCTGGTGCACCAGCTTGGCGCAGGGATTATTTTGTCGAGAGATCTGCTATGCGTTTTAGAGGCCGCGACTGCTCGTGCAAAGGAGGAGCTGTGGGTGATGGTCGACGAACAAGTGGTTGGACCAAGCTTCTCGAACCGTTCTCGAATATTACGGCGCGTGTGGGAATACTGATGATGATGATGAGGAGGAGGATGAATCTGGTGATGATGCACGGAGAGCGAATTGGTGGTGGTTCTACCGCAGGCTACATGGATCTCGCCGCGATCACTGTCGCGAGGCCTGATACGAGGCGCCTCCGTGGCCACTCGGAGAGCCGTGGAAGCGCGTCTGCATGGCAGAATGCTCCAGAAAGATACCATAGACTTGCGTCTTCTATAACACATTTTACAACTTCATGTTGGCCAAGTAGGTACTCCAGCCGTCGGTCTCCATCTTGGCGATCTTGTCGTTGACGTCGGCCTCCTGCTTGTCAAGGAACGCCTGCATCTTGGTGAGGTTCTCGTCACCACCAACGATGCGCACGGCGAGGAGACCCGCGTTCATCGCATTCCCGATCGCGACCGTAGCGACGGGGATGCCCCGGGGCATCTGCACGATCGAGAGGAGCGAGTCCATTCCGCTGAGCGCCTTGGTCTGGATCGGGACGCCAATGACCGGCAGCGGCGTCAGGGCCGCGACCATGCCCGGGAGGTGCGCCGCGCCGCCCGCACCCGCAATGAGCACCTGGAGACCCCGGGCGCGCGCCGACTGCGCATACGAATACATACGCTCGGGCGTCCGGTGGGCCGAGACGATGCTGAGTTCGTACGAAATGCCAAAGTCATCGAGCACCTTGGCGGCGGCGGCCATCGACGGCAGATCCGAGTCCGAGCCCATGATGATACCCACAAGCGGCGCCTTGATGCCGGCGGGCGCTGCGCTCGGGCTCAGCTGTGTCGCGCGCGCAAGAAGCGCCGAGAGCGTTGGCGCCACGACCGTGATGTGCCCGACCTTGCGCCCCGGCGAGATACCCGCCTTGCCGTACCAGTGGACGCGAGCGCCAGGGATCGTCGCTGCGTGCGCGACCAGGTCCGTCGTCGCTTTCGGATCCGCCGTACCGAGGACGTTGAGCATGTAGGCGGCGCCGACCTGCAGCGCGCAGCTGCCGAGCGGGATGTTGGCGACGGCCCGCAGATGGTTCTCAAACTGGTCGGTCTCGCACGCTTCGATCGTGTAGTGGCCCGAGTTGTGCGGGCGCGGTGCAATCTCGTTCAAAAGCAACGTGTTGTCCGGCGTCAAGAACATCTCGACGCCAAAGATACCGTTGCCCGAGAGCGCGGCGACGACCTTGGTCGCCATGGCCGTCGCGGCCGCATGGAGGCCCGCGTCCGGGAGCACCGCGGGGGCGAGGACCGTGTGGCAAATGTTGTTGGCCTGCGTCGTCTCAACGACCGGGTACGCGCGCACGTCCTTGCCTTGGCGCACGACCATGACCGCGAGCTCCTTCGTGAAGGGCACCCACTTTTCCGCGTAGAGCTTGCCGGCGCCCATGGTCGGTGCGAGCGCCGCGATCGCAGCGGGAATGCCGGCCTCGGACGCGACGACGGCGTTGCCCTTGCCGTCGTACGACCAGTGGCGCGACTTGAGCATGAACGGGTACCCGTAGCGCGCGCCGGCCGCGACCGCATCGGCGGCCGAGTCGACGAGTGTGAAGGGACCGAGCGGCACGTCGACGTCGCGGCAGAACACCTTTTGCGCGTACTTGTCTTGGATGAGAGCGATCGTGTCCGGGCTCGGGTGGATCTGCAGCGTCGGGTGCGAGACCTGCAGCGCGCGCAGCGTGTGCGCATTGACGTGCTCGATCTCGACCGTGAGCACGTCGACCTTGGCGGCGAGGGCCTCGATGGCGGCGGCGTCCGTGAACGAGCCCGCGACGGTCGACGTGACTTGGCCGGCCGGCGACGCGTCGCCCGCAGGGTCCAAGCACACGAGCTTGACGCCGAGGCGGTGCGCAGCGTAGCCCATCATGCGGCCGAGCTGGCCTCCGCCCAGGCAGCCCACGGTCGGCGTGTTCGGAAGGCTCATGAGGACGCGGTGGGAAATCGGAAAATGGGGCCGATGTGGCGAGGATGATCATGCAACAGGGCGAGGTGATGCGCCTAATAAAATACCGTTTTTCGTGTCTATTTATATATCCATTCTTTATTCGACATACATTATCACAGTGTACCAAGCACATATTTAATGTACGACCCAGAAAAAGCACAAAAAAATCGGAAAGATCTGCCTCACTAAGATTATGCATCACTTTTGTATCCAACATGTTTAAAACACCATCTTGCTCCACCAATCCGAGACCGCTATGTTGTGTTTGAAACAGTACCGTCCACGCGCGCTTGTACCCGACACGATTAGAGTCGGCACCAACCATGCGAGCCCGCGTTGATTGGCCGAAATGATTTTAGATAGCGAACCAATCATGGTGATTTGGGACGATCTTTTTTAACCAATGGATGGCGACCATGGGATGCATTATTCCACCGGAACCACGCTGGAGCTCCAAGCTGCGCTCGACGACTTCTCTGGCCGGGACGACGAGGCCTACCACAGCGCCATGGAGCGGCTGCGCGCCCAGTACGTGGTCGTGACGCCGGGCCAGGTCATCACGAGCGAGCCCGGCTTCCTGCGCGGCCACGGCACGTACGTCGAGAACGGTGAGCTCCTCGCGTCCGTGGCCGGCGTCGTCGAAAAGGTCAACCAGCTCGTGAGCGTGCGCCCGCTCGTGAGCCGCTACATTGGCGAAGTCGGCGACATCGTTGTCGGGCGGATCTCGGAGGTCGGCAGCAAGCGCTGGAAGGTCGACATCAACGGCCAGCAAGATGCTGTCCTCATGCTCTCGTCGGTCAACTTGCCGGGCGGCGCGCAGCGGCGGCGCACGTACGAAGACCAGCTGCAGATGCGGTCGTTCTTTGAAGAGTCGGAGCTCATTAGCGCCGAGGTCCAGGAGGTCCGGTACGATGGCACGATGTGGCTCCACACGCGCTCGCTTCGGTACGGCAAGCTCGAGAACGGCCAGCTCATTGCCGTCCAGCCCGCGCTCGTGAAGCGACTCAAGCAGCACATGCTCCAGCTACCGATTGGCATTGACGTGATCCTCGGCTGCAACGGCTACATCTGGATCGCGCGGCGCATCGAGCACGACGCCGAGTCGCTGACCACCAACGAGTCGCGCGCCGACGTGTGGACCGAGCGCAAGGCGACGCACGCGGCGACGCCGACGGATGCGGCCGACCGCAAGAAGATCGCGGCCGTCTACAACGTCCTCTCGACGCTCAACGCGCAGTTCAAGACCATCACGCCCGAGAGCATCATGGAGCTCTACGAGCAGCAGACTGCCGACGACCACGCTTAAATCAAAAACACACTTCATCGTCTTCCTTACTACAACAGTACAAATCTTCTTGCTTGGCACACGTATCATCCAGCGCATGCAGCCACCACGTCGGCGACGGCTACCTCGTGCTGCGGCTGTGCAACGAGGCAAACCACTAATAGCCCGTCGCAGTGGCATGGCGCAGAACTGCGCGCGGACCAGGTCGGCGAACCCGTCGTGGTCGTAGCGTAGGCTATCACGGCTGGCTGGCTTCACGGTGGTCGTGAAGCTGTCCCGAGCAAGCAAGCCCGTGAGAAGAAGAAGGTCGGATGGGTGCTTGGTCGGACCAGCTGGCGTCGTAAACCGCGGAATGTTGGTCGTTGCACCAGCCCCTTCGAGACAGATACGACGCGAGCGGCCCGCTTGCATCATCCGTCCGCAAGCTCGAAGCAGAGAACCGCGCGTCGTGGATGCTACAACGCAAGATGCTACATACCGCGACCATGAGCCCAAAGCTCGAGGTAGACCAATGCAGACGCCCGAAGCAGGATGACGTATACGCGATGTGCCAGGAGCAGGATCGGACGTTGCTCGCCGCCACTCGAGGCGACGCCAATCGCAACAAGGTGCACGCGAGGCGCCTGCGTGGACGAGCTAAGAGCGAGGACGTAGTCGATGGCCATCCGCGCAGCGTACCTCCAAGCCCACCTCGTATGTGCAAAGATGTACCTTGGCTGACGTGGCGACGACTAGGCAAGCGAGCCCGATGCAGCCATCGATGCGCTAGCTGCCAACAGCGACACCATCAACACGACCGACAGCGTCTGGCCTTTCTCTTGGCGCCGATGTCTTTTGACGATGGAGTCTCGTAGGCTGGACCAACCGCACTCATGCTCGCAGCGTCGACCGAGAAGGCGGAGCAACTCTTGCAATTCGGCGCCGCCATCGACGCCCAAGACCATGTAATCCATCGACTACCTCCCTCGGCGCATCTTTCTCAGACTCTAACGGGACTATTAGTTGGGGCAGACGGCACTGATGCTGGCCGCGACCACCAATGACGTGCAGCGCACGGAGTTGTTGCTCGCTCACACCGCGAACGTCCATCTGCGGGATACGGTACCCTCGACTTTCTCGGATTGTGCTAGATCCAGCTGTGTCTAGCAAGGGTCAACCGTGCTGCTGCGGTGCGCCGAGGCCAGCGCCGAGATCGTCGCGCTGCTTTTGGCCCACGGCGCGGACCCGGACGCGATGGACCACGTACAGACTGCCACGTCACGCACTGCTTCCGACTCAGTATGTGGTAGCGTGGTGAAAACACGCTGATGCGCGCTGTGACGAGCCAGAATGTACCCGTGATCCAACTGCTGCTCCCGGTGACCAACGTCGCTCACGCCAACCCGACGGTCGGTGGTTCCAAGCCGGCGACTCTTCCTAACGAGATTGAGATCGTCGTATAGAATGGCAACACACTGTTGCATGTGGCGGCGTGGACGGGCCACAGCCGTCGGTCGGGCCTCCTTGGGTCCATCGCCGCCGTCTGCAACGTCCACGCGTGCAATCATGTCAATCTATCATTTCTAAGTGGCTCTGAATTGGCGACTTAGACGGGCGAGACGCCGCTGCTCTACGCGCTCAAGACGGCCAAGGACGAGCAAGACCTCTTTGAGACCGTCACCACGCTTCTCGGCGCCGGCGCGTCCGTGCACACGCCGTGCCACGCTGTACATCTTTTGTCCATGTCCAAATTGTCTTATCGTTTGTGGACGCCGATATAGGGCGATGCCCCGTTTCTAGTCGCGTGCCAGCGCGGGTTTGCGGCCGTGCTCTACGTCCTCGCCCAAGCTCGCGCCGACGTCAATTACAAAGACCAAGTACACCTCTCCTCTTGATACGTTGATACTTGCTCCTCGATACGCTAGACGGGACGCACGGGGCTGCACCACGCCGTCGTGCGCGGACATACCCAGAGCACTGAAGTGCTCGCGATCCTCTACAATGTCGACGTCAACTGCGCCACGCCGGTAGGTGCCTCGACAGCGCAGTCGTGAAGCGTTCGAGTAGACGGGCGACACACCGCTCGTCCTCGCGAGCGCCGCCGGCAACAAGCACATGGTGCGCACGTTCTTGACCAAGCGACGCATGGACCTCGCGCACGCCAACCTCGTACGTCGTCGTCCTCGAAGCATAGGCACGAGAAGCTGATGGAAGCGAGCGCAGGATGGAGAGACGGCGCTGCATGTCGCCTGCGCCGGGGGCCATGCGGCTGTCGTTCACGAGCTCCTTGCGTATGCTAGCCATTCGCTGCATGCGCTCGACAAGGTACACTGCAAAGTGCCATTGCGACTAAGAACTGAGACCGGTTGTAGTGCGGCCGCACGCCCTTTCTGAGCGCGTGCGCACGCGGCCACGTCTCGGTGCTCAAGGCGCTTGTGCACACGGGGGCCATTGATGTGCATCACTGCGATCACGTACGCAGCGCAGTCTGCTACCTGTGATAAGGATGCTGATGATGATGGGATGCACCATGTAGTCGGGCCAGTCGGGGCTGCTGCTGGCGAGTGCGAACGGCCACTTTGACGTCGTCCAGTGGTTTCTTGAAATACCCACGATGCTCGCGACGGTCTGCAATCACGTAATACGTTTTCCTTGCGACATGAAGAAGGTGGACAAGTTGTCGTTAGATGGGTTATGAAGCGTTTTGTGCAGCCGTGGTTGCCGGCCATGGCCCCGTCGCCGCACTGCTCGTCCAGCTACCGCTTGTGGCGATTGAAGCAGCCGCATGTGCACTCGGTGGTTAAATGTCGTCTCAACGGGCTCATTTTTGTCGATTTGTTTTCCCATCCTTACTACTCAATCAAGTTGATATTGGTGGTGTGTGTCTGGTTTTTTAATAGGGCCCCCTACGAGTTCCAACCCAATACAATCGAGCGATGGGTCTTGGTCTGTCGCACCCGGCGCCGCCGTCCGACGCGGCCGCCGCTGTCTTGTGCAGCCAGGACCTCTTGTGTACCATCACCTCGTACCAGCGCGGCCTGCCCGAGAGCCTTGCACCGCTGGTGCCAGGTCTGCGGCGCATGGCCCACCGGCCCAAGCAACGCATCTCCATGCCCGACCACGAGCTCGACGCCCGCTTCCGCACGTGGCTGGCAGCCCACGACGTCGAGAAGCTCGCGCCACTGCTGCGCAACGCCAAGCTACCGACAGGATTGCCTTTATCCACGGCGACATCAACGTCGTCGCGTTCGTGGCTGAGGCCACGTGCGTTGTCGCTGCAGACTGGCTCTTGGCAGCGTCGAAGGGCCACACGTCGGTGCTCGACTGGCTCGAAGCGCGCAGCTCGGCGTACCCGCGAGGCCTTATGGAGTGCGGCGTCAGCAGCAATCAGCTGGACGTTGTCGTCTGGGCGCACAAGCGGGTCATCTGCGCACCGTGGCGGCCGAGCGAGGGTTTCTGGAGATTCTCATCTACTTGGACGCGCATTTGCTCAGCGACTGGCACCCGATGGCCGTCTCGATCGCAGCCGAACGCGGTCATGTGGACGTGCTTCGCTTCCTTCGCGCCAAGGCGTATGCCGGGACGCGACCCGTCCTCGTCGACGGGGGTTCCGAGTGGGGAAATGGAAATGTATCGACGTGACCTGTATAGCGTTCGCTTTGTGTTGCAAAGACTTGGGTACAGGCACCGAGAGACGAGCAGGCATCTTCGACTTCTGACTCGTTCGCCAGGCCGTGACTGCGCACTTGGGGCTTTGGTTTGCTCATCGAATGCTCTGACGACACGCTCAATGAGGTACTTTCCAGCATTGCTTTCAAAGGTCGTTGAGAGACAGAGGCGGTGGCGTACTCCATACTAATATGCAAGTGTGAAACGGTCGAAGACCCTACCCCTTCGCTCGAATCTTGTCGACAGCGCGCCAAGTCGGATTGGGCGCAGGCCTATCTTTGACGCGTAGCTCAACGCGCTCATACCCTTCTGCTCCAGATGTGAGGAGTCGACCAAGCCACGCACTGTGGCGTACGCTGCAGCAGTGGTCGACGTCCGGGCCATATTGCGAGCGAGCGACATCGGCTGCGACGGGGCTCGCTGCCCCAGTCCGAGCAAGCTGCGGTCAACCAAGCAGCGAACGACCGTTGGGCAACGTGTTCTGCGGTCCATCCACGCTTGTCCACGACATCGCCGCAATTTCCCATTTTTATCCTACAGGCACGGAGAGCTCGTTCGGCCATGCTGGAGCACGGCCTTGGTACTACTAAGAACGCAACGCTTGCAGTCTGGCCTTGCATCGAACCCGGATAGCTTTAGAATCGATTGTCGCTGGCGTTGATTTCGAAGCTTCCATGTACCTCGTTGCACCGCCTTTTGTCGGATCTTGGCCGTCGTCCACCAGAAGAAGCCTCGCCCTACTATGTAGTCACAAGAACGACACGCATCCTTCGCCGATGACGGTCCATGCAATGTAGCTGCATCACGCCATGCTAATTGCTGCTGTGGACTTCGGCGTACCCAACGGTTGCCATCTGGTCGGACTTCGCACGTGTTCGTATCTATCTATCTTGGTCCGCGGATATTCCTCCAACCGTCACATTGCCTTTTCCACTCCACGCGCAAGATGTCGTACTCGGGTCTCGCCTCGCTGCAATGGTACTTTACAGGTCTCTGCCACTACGGCGCGCGCGGCTACCGCAAGGCGTCGACCACGTGGGTCGAGACGCCCGTCGACGTCTCGTCGCGCCACTACGCCGTGACCGGCGCCAACAGCGGCCTTGGCTTTGCGATCGCGACCCAGCTCGCGCAGCTCGGCGCGCATGTGCATTTGGTCTGTCGCGACGCGGGCCGCGCCGAGGCTGCGCGCAAGGCCATCGTCGACGTCTCGTCGCACGACCCGACCAAAGTACACGTGCACCTCGGCGACCTCGGCAAGCAAAAGGACGTGCATACGATCGCCGCGTCTCTGGCGGCTGCCGCGCCGTCTCTTGATGGCCTTGTCAACAATGCAGGCATGCTGGCGAAGGAGGCAGTCTTTACTGAAGACGACGTCGAGTCCTCGATGGCCGTCGCGATCAACGGCACGTACCTCCTCACGGCGCTGCTCCTTCCGCAGCTGCGCAACCATGCGGACGGCGCGATTGGCCGCGTTGTCAACATGTCGAGCGGCGGCCAGTACCTCGGGAGTTTGGACCTCGTCGACGTGCGCGGCAAGACCCGCGCTGGCGACAAGTTTGACGGGACGCTCGCCTACATGCTGGCGAAGAAGACTCAAGTCGCGCTGACGATGGAGTTTGCCAAGCGGTTTCCGCTCGGACAGGACAAGATTGCGTTCCACGCGATGAACCCGGGCTGGGCGACGACGCCAGGGACAACGAGCTCGATCGGCGGCTTTACGCGCCTCCACGGATGGATGATGCGAACGCCTGAGCAGGGCGCAGACACGGCGGTCTGGCTCTGCACGGCGCCGGAGCCAGCCACGTCATCGGGGCTGTTCTGGCTCGACCGTCGCGTTGTGCCCACCGAGATGTCGTGGGCCTCGACCGCGCACACGGAGGCCGACCGCAGCACGCTCTGGGCGCGCGTGGCTGAGATTTGCGGCCGCGACGCTGGTACCGCGTAAGCCTGAGTTTTCTTAGTCTCATATTTTAACCATTTATGCCCGAGTTTGACGTTTGCTTGTACGTTGATGCATGGAGCGTTTGGATCGCATTGTCTGCAAGCCTGCTGATGCATTAGGATTTGCCAGAGCCGGCAAGCCGCAGCCAGTGACCACCGTCGACGTAGCTCTTCCTTCCTGGCGCCTTCGCCGCTGCAATCTGGGCTCAGCCCCGCGGAGCTGTGCTGGACGCTGGCTACTGCGCACTGACCACTCTTCCGCCGTCCACTTTTCACGACGTACGACGGCCTTCCGAAGGAGATACTACGAGAGGCGGTCTATTATATTGCTACTAAAACTATACGAAGCGCGCTCAGCACGCCACGGGGCAGGGCTCGCTACTGGTGCTGTTGAGGATCATTGCGAGGCTGTACTTGGTCCAGCTCGGGCGTTCGTGGTGGTGTACGCTGCTGCTGCTGCTCGACGCATCGCTCGTGCTGTCTGAAATGCCGCCGTCGTCTTGCGTCCGCTTGTGTCGGGCGTGGCGCGAGCAGTGGCCGCCCGACCGCGCGTGTGTCGTGCAGCCTTCGAACTGGCATGGGCGCCCGCCGCCGTGCCGGACGCACCTGTGCTTGGACTGCGCGAGGCGCACACAGCCGGGCTCGATGCAGTGCTTCTTGGAGCCCTTGGCGCCGTGGCGGCAGCAGAAGCCGCGCTGGTGCGCGTTGGCACGGCAGCCCTCGAAGCTGCAGAGCGCGCGGCCGCCATGGCGCACGCACAGCTTCCGGGCAAAGACCTGGTTGGAGCACTCTGGCACCGAACACTCGGACCGGTTGCGATGGAAGTCGCACTTGGTCGAGCCCGGCAGCACCGGCTGCTGGCACGAGTTGAATTGGCACTGCATGTGGTCAAATGAAAAGTGAAATGTGCAAAGTAAAAAGCATGGGTGCGTTGTCGGTTGTGACCAAGAATTCATTGGGATCGGTTGTGGAGGCGAAAAGATGTCTTGTATCCGGATATTATGTATTAGAGGTTGTCGCGAGTATGTGGATACTTGGGGATATAGGCATTGGTATATTCAACGTTACAGCATATCAAGTGAGGGAGGAAGATACCCCGCCCGAATATCCGTCTGTGCCGTGGCCACAACCGCTTGCACTGATCGCGATCGCGTTGGTGCGGTGGCGATGATATACTTCATTTCAGTTCGATAATCCGTACCACGTAATGGAGATTGATTTACGCTTCCAGTTTAAAAATGACGTCAAGGGAATGGCAGCGGAGGGCAAGTATACCGTAGACAACGAGCGGACAAAATCGAAGAGCACATTCATTTGGCTCTGGACGCATGAATATACATGTAGAGGCCCCTTGTGGGTGGTCGTCATCATTCTGGATGCACATCCTTGGGAGCGACCGTCGCAAGGCCGATGCAATAAAATTTGCCGTCCCGATCAAGCTACTCGCCTTTTCTCCGAGTTGCGATCACGCATCCAAGACGCTACTAGCTGCTACCGGCCACCAAAAACTCACGTTTTGTAGGAGGACGGAGTTCGCATCCACAGCCAACAGGGAGAGATGTACGACGTCTACCTGGTACTGCCGATTCGGCCACCGACTTTCAACGAGATGCTTGGTTGCGGAACAAGAAAATATATTTGCGCCAAACTCTTTCTTTGAAAAGCAAATAATTGTACAGTACTGCCTCCACAAACAATGAAAAATTGCATGGCCGATGACCAGAGAATTTCCCACGAGCCATTGATTGATGCACTCTTGCGTGCTTGAGACTCTATAATGCGTTACCTCGCCAAAGCTCACTCTTTCGTGCCAACGAGCAGGAACCAATGAGCTCGATCGGTGCGTACGATCCGAGGTAGAGTAAGTGGGTACATACATACCGGTATATACGGTATGTATGATGGTGGTGAGCTCTGGTGGCGAGGCGTCGTCTTGCCTACACATGTACCTAGGATCGAAGCGCCTCGGTATCGTGCCATACATCGAGCTGCCATCCATGAGTGACGACGACACAGCAAACGGTGGCCACTGGTTGTGTGGACGCTGTGGAGCTGTCAGAACCTGCTTAGAAAATGCGCTGCTCGCCAGGTGGTTCGCCCCACACACGTAAACGCGGGTGGTTGCAGCACAGACCAGAATCTCAGTCCACAGAAGGGCACTACCACAGGGTCGACACCGCCATAAACGGGCCAGGAGCCCAGTATTCTTGAGGCGCGTGATGATGTAAGCTGTCCATTTCGTGCAGGAATTACGCACGTAGCGTCAAGGAGTGTTGGCCCACGGTCCACGAACCGATGGTCAACCTGCGACCATTGAAAGATTCCAACCCTCCCGCTGAATCGACCAGCAAGGCGCGTGAGAAGGGACCTGGCGCCGACGAGGAAGGTCAAGCTTTGTGGACGTTTAACAACCGTCGTGCACCAGCCGGGGGGGATTCCACCCGTGATGGCTGCCAGCCGGTCGCTTGATTCGCCGTGAGGTAATGGCGCACGAAAATGGTTTGCCTCGGAAATTCCCTTAGGTAGTACCTTTTTGCCGTTTGAAAACCGCCGTCGCGGCGGTCCCACCGCATCCTGATGCGTTACTTGCGAATTCATACGAACGTCGGTATCGCCATCGCACGCTATCGACCGCAGTCGCGCACTTCGCGATGGACATGTACTTGGATACGGCAACGGTGTCGAGCCCCACAACCAACTTGTTGAACGTGGCGCAGCATGGCGGGTGGCAGGTGGACGGGACTCATAACTCGCAGGTGCGTCCCACTACGCACCCGCCACGACAGAAGAAATGTCAGGCTCTGTCTCTACGCCGTCGCTTGCCTTCGCGAGTCTTCGCATGCACAAGTCCGTCACTTGTCAATTTGCATACCAAAATCATGACCAAGTGTCGCTTCAACGCGTGCGAAGAGGCTGCGATGGCCAACTCGACCAAGTGCTATTTCCACCGCAGCCGCGGCCACTGCTCCGTGCAGGGCTGCAAGAACCAAGTGTTTGCGCGCCACTTGTGCGTGCGCCACGGCGGCCGGCCCCTCTGCAGCTTTGAGGGCTGCTATGGCAACGCCCGCCTGCGCGGCTTTTGCTCCAAGCACGGCGCCAAGGTCCCCAAGAAGCTCTGCTCCGAACCTGGCTGCACCAAGATGGTGCAGTCCAAGCAAAAGTGCGTGCGTCATGGCGGCGGCCGCCAGTGCCGCATGGATGGCTGCACCACGTACGCCCGCCTCGGTGGCTACTGCTCGCGCCACCACCGCGTGCGCACCGACGACGCATCGTCGCCGACCGCCGCCTCGCAGCTCGAGCCAATGCCGCACACCACGTACTTTAGCCATGGCCCCCAATACAACTACTACCCGTTCGACCCGACCCAGCGCTACAGCAGTGGCAGTAGCCCCAGCTACAGCAAGCCCGACGCCGCCGTCGTCGACCACCGGTGGTGGCCCAGTATCGACGTGGCACCGACCTCGTACCACTTTGCCGAGGCGCACCGCTACGACCCGCCACGGGACCCGAATGCGTGGACGTTTTCCGTTTAGCACTACACTTATCTAAGATTCTACAGTTAACAGCTAATACAGGCTGATCATTTTTGTTTGACGTCGTGTTACTACTCCAAATAAAGTAGATCGATCGCCTGGGAGAGAGGCGAGGAGGGCGAGAACCGTAGAGGCTTCAATTCCAAGAAGAGACACCCTTTGCGTGGCGATGAGGTCGCTGAAAACCAATGATTCGGTCAGCGCTCGTGATGACGGCTGCCAGTCCATTCACACCGCCAGCAGTAGGGCAGACAAGGATGCTGCCGTCCCGAGTTCGACCTCATCATCTCCTCAAGGTTTCCTCGTGGTCTCCTCAAGGTTTCCTCAAGGCTGCACACATGGCACACGGATCTGTACTCCAGCCTCTGGAGACTGTTTGTGGTAGCTACATTCTATATGAATTCGTATGAGGCTTGGGTGCACACGGCTGGCGACTGCATGAATCGTTTTGACGCCGACCACGAGGCTCTATATATTGATGCGCCTTAGCGGAAGCGCGGTGGACCGCCATGCGTGTTCCACATGACAATGCGTCGGTCCCACGAGCATGACGCCAACAAACCTATCCAGTCGTGGATAGTATATTATCCCACACTATCCATCGTATCCGCGTACCAGGGACAAAAAGGCTAAAGTCGATGCAAACTCGCTGTGGTGCGTCGCCGTTTGCTACACGCATTCTCGTCACGGCCTCTGGAATGCGGCATCAATGCAGGTATATACCGTCTGGGGATGCAGCGCCTTGGTGTCCCAGAGCCGCACCGACATGTCGTAGGACGCCGACGCGACAACGTCGGGCGCATGCGGCGAGAACTTGACCTTGCGCACCGCGTACTGGTGGCCGCGCAGAACGCGGACCTCCATCTCGGGGTTGCGAATGTCCTAGCATTGCAGCGGGACGTCAATGCGGCCGATGCTTCATGGACGTAGTACCCAGATCTTGAGACTTCCGTCGACCGACCCTGTCACGAGTTGGTTCGGGTCGTACTTGCTCCAGTCCAAGGCGAGGACCTCTTGGGCGTGGGCGGCGATGCGGCACACGGACGCACCCGAGTTGAGATCCCATAGCCGCACCGCGCCGTCGCCCGAGCACGAGGCAATCATTGAGTTGGCGTGGACCGACCACACGGCGTTGTAGACGGGGCCGGTGTGGCCTTGCAGCGTCGCAATCGAGTGGGGTCGCGTCGGCGTCCAGACCTTGACGGTCGAGTCCCAGCTGCCGGAGCAAAAGTGCTGTCGGTCGCCCATGTTCCAGTTGACGCTACTCGCTTCCATTGCATGCTCGGCGAACGTCTGGATCGGGAACCCGTCGGTCGTCGTGACGTCCCAAAGCTTGAGGTGGCCGTTTGCACACGCGCTCACGAGCTGCGACGCATGCGTCTCGCTCCACGCCACGTCGTAGACGCCGTCTTGCGTATCAAAGGCGCGCATCTAGTCAGATTGGCTCGCGCCATGAGCCTCGCCATCGCAGCGTATGGGAGCGTACAGGCGTGAGGTCGCCGCTGGCCTGCAGCTCCAGCACGAGCTGCTGTCCGTTGCCGATGATGCCAAAGTACTGCGCGCTCCCGACCGCAAGCCAGTGCTCGTGGAAGGGCGAGAACTCGACCTAGAGACGCTGGTCATGAGGCCCACCGAGGCCATCGCGGCGGCTACCGCGTAGCAGCTGAAGTCGGCGATCCCTTGCCGCGGCTGGACAAACATCGTGGTTTGCGCAGTGTTGACAAGACGCAGTATCCGGATCCGGTTGAGGTGACTAAACGCACGCCACTTGCCAGCGCATGCCCTGCTCCGTCAAGCTGGCTCCGTCAAGCATGAGTGGTTGCTTGTGGACTCGTGTCTGCGTTGGAGTGGTATCGGATAAACAATTATAGTACAGGGCTATGTCTTGAAGCTATAATCCTGCGAGATACAGCGGTCGCGGGGCCATTTGCTGGACTGAGGAAATTGCTCTGGTGAGGAAATTGCTCTGGTGGCCCCCCAACAGAGTACAGTATCGTTGTCTGGGGAGCGTTCGCAGTGTCAAGGACATAAGCCCTTCCTTGGTAGTGACCACGAGGCCGCGAGCTCACCGTGTTTAGCGACAGTACCGGACGAAAGGCGGTGCTCGGACCACCCTGCACCCAACTCGGGTTCTCAGTTGGCAGTGGGGCGCTGGATTCACGCATCGACGTCGATGCTGCGTGGGACCTTCGAGCTCTCTACGTCGGCGTGGTCGTCTCTCATGGGACCCTCCAGTTGTCTGCACTAGGTGCTGCGATTTCCCTGGCTCATTTTGTGGAGGCAAGAACCACATCTCGTGCTGCCACGTGGGCGGCATCCGGATACCGCGTCCGGACAGATTCCATTCGAGCGACCGGATGTCGCATTGACGTGCATTTTCGAGCTGGCCATGTTCAAGAAGCTAGGGTTCGGCCGGCGGACGACCGCTGCGCCCGCGGACCTGCAGCCTGCCGCGGAGCCGCTGCCCGCGCTCGCTGCCATCGATGACCGGCCCTCGACCTTTGGCAACGTCGCGCAGTACGCTGCGGACGAGGCCGCGGTCGCGCCCGAGGACATGGCAGCGCTCCAAGGCATCGACTTTGACGGTACGCGCGATGCATTTCTCAGTGTTCTCTCATCTGGTCTCTAGTCGATGTCAACGCCGTCGACATGGCGATCGAGGCGCCGCCGGTCGCGGACCCTGGCAGCGACTGGAATGGTTGCGGCGGGTGCCCCGTCTCGATGATCACGGACGGCTTTGTGCCACCCGCTTTACGTTTGGCTGCAGCAAGAACGCCGACGAGCGCTGGGCGAGCACGCTCACGTGGCGCAGCGTGCACCAGATCGACCACATCCTGCACACGCCGCGACTGCACTTTGCGGCCATCAAGGCGCACTGGTCGCACTCTTCTGCGCTCGCACGCGCACCGACAACAAGAACCTCGTTGTCTACGAGCACGTGGGCGGCTTGAACAAGGCGCTCGAGGCGCTCGAGGCGCAGCACGAGATTGCGTTTGCCGACGTCATGGCCCACTACCTCTTCCTCACCGAGTTCCAGTGGGCGCGGCTCGACACGCGGCCGTTCGACAAGGCGACGCCGACGTTGGGGCAGATGGTCAAGATCCTCGACTTCCAGGGCATGACCTTGAGCGACTGCAAGAACGCCGACTTTCGTACGTTTGTGTCGTGGACAATGCGCACGATTGGTACGCACTTCGATCCTCTGCGTCCATCGTTATCCATCTTTTATCGCAGGCCAGCACTACCCCGAGCGCTGCGCCGCCATCTACATCATCAACACGCCACCGTGGTTCAACACGTTTTGGCTCGTCATCCAGCGCTTGATCAGCGACGTGACCAAGCAGAAAATCCGCATTTGCCCGGCGCCGAAAGACTACGTCCGCCGCCTCACTGCGTGGCTCGGCCCCGACCACCTCCCCGCGCTCCTCGGCGGCAATGCGACCGTCGACGGCACGACGCATTTCTCCGAGGACGAAGCCACGCTGCACGCCTACGTGCGAAGCACCTCTAGTCCGCCTCCTCAACACGCATCGATGCTACATCCTTTATCATCATCTGTTGCAGGCCGAGAGCCGCATTGGGTCCATTTGCTGGCTCCGTCGGAAAAAATTGGGACTCCTTCGCGACTGGCTTTGCTTGATGGGGATCTTGCGGTCCATGGCTTCGTGGGAACACTCAAAGTCGTGCCGGCCCACGACGCTCGCCCGTCGACGGCGCTGGATCACGTGCGCCTCGAGGTCGCTCAAGCGCTCCTCGCGCTCGGTGGGTTTCTATGCATGACATCCATCAATATGGCACGAAGACGGCGACAAATAACGAGACAATTTCATCCGGGGCCTCGGGGCCTGGGTTGCGCTGGTAGAGCTCGGCAATGCGCTCCATGGACCGAAGGATCTCGGTAAAGTCGGGGCGCTTGTCCATGTCGGCGTCCCAGCACGCTGTCATAAGCTCCTTGTAGAGCTCGGGCACGGGATTCGTGAGGTCGGCCGGGCGTAACCCTACCCCTTGGTTTGAGTCGACCATATTCGACGGAAGCCACCTTCTTGGCAGACGAGCAACGGCACTTGAAGCGGGTTCATGCCTTGGTACGGATCCTTGCGCTCAATCATTTCCCAGAGCACGACGCCAAAGCTACGGGCCATCCCAAATCGTTGCTACGTCGCGTGTGGAGTACCTATAGATGTCGGCCTTCTCGGTATAGTTGTCGTGACGAATGACTTCGGGGGCCGCCCTAGCAATATTGTCTTCTTGTACGTCGTCGCAACGAGCTTTAAAGTACCAGAAGGGCGTGCCCACAAACGTATACTCGCCGTACATCTTGTCTTTGTAGCGCGAGAGGCCAAAGTCGGCGACCTTGACGACCAAGTGGTCGGACACGAGGAGGTTCTTGGTCTTGAGATCGCGCTAGACGGCGATGAGACACTAGAGTGGACAAAGAACGTCCATACTTGGAGCACGCCTTGTTCGTGCACGTGGGACATGCCGTGGATGATGTCCAAGGTGCAATTGAGCACCAATGGCATCGGGATAATGTTGTTGGGGTCCCTTAAGTACTCGTACAGCGAGCCTATGCGCGTCTCGGTCATATGGAAAGGTCGGGAAGCGATGCTACCGTTGGCCATGTACTCCATGATGAGCACATAGCAGCTCGACGTGAGACTCGCGCCAATCAAGTGCAGTACGTTCGGGTGGTTCATGCGACTCATGACCCAGATCTCGCGGCGGAAGTTCTTGATTGCTTCCTCGAGGCCTTCCTGGTACGTCTCGCGGGGCATGAGGAGCTTGACGCCGACCTAGAGACCGTTCGAGCGGTGTTGCAGATGCGACGAGACGCACCCGCGTGTTGCGCCACACGCCCGCGTAGACTTCGCTGAGCGGCCCCGTGGCCACGCGCTTGACAAGACGCACTTCGGCGAGCTTGACCTCGTACACAGACGCGAAGACGTTGTCGGCGACCTTGAAGCTCACGTTGGAGGTGAGACTCGCCCTACGCGTCCTCGGCTACGGCAAGCATTCCAGGAGACGACTTGTACCGGCGCATCGTGAGCAGCTTGTGGACCTTATCTTGCTCTTGCTGGACGCGGATCGAGTTGGGCGCGACGGCCAAGATCGCGTTCTCTTCGTACGTCGGCTTGAGGAAGAGGTCGGAAGTGTCGTGGTGCGTCTTGAGCTTGTTGGTGACAATCTTCTGGAGGTGCTGGACCCTAGCAGTGCATATACGTATATGGGCGACGGTGGATGAGAGGCGCGTACCGCGAGTGCTTCCCGAGAAAGGACGAGAGCCCATTGCGCGCGGCGAGGAAGGCGATGCCATGCTTCTCGAGGTTCTTCTTGCTCTGGATCTGCGCGCTGTCAATGTCCTTGCGGATCATCGTCTCGGAGATCGACACCATGTTTTTTGCTTGGATCTTGCGCATGAGGCGGCGCTGCCGCGTGCGCAGCAGGACGCAGCGCGCCGTTGGCACCACGAGAAGGAGCAAGAGTAGCGCCACGACGAGGTAGACATCGAGCACGATGCACGTCGAGTCGGCGCAGTGCTCGGCCGAGAAGACGTACTCGACCGCCATGCCCAAGACGATGACGGTTCCAGAGCTGAGCTTTGGGCCAAGAATAGCAGCAAAGGACACGACATGTTTCTAACGGCTCCGACTTCTTCCTGCGTCGCGGAACGGTCACATGCTGAAGCGCGACGGGCCATGATAACGGCGACGACGGCCAAGGACGGCAGCCAGGATGGGCCATCGCGGCCGCTCGATGCGGTCCGCGATGGCTGGTAGTACAGGATATTACAAGGTGCATTCAAGGAGAGAGGAATGCGCTAGCTAGCTTACGGGATCTTCTTCTCGACGATCGCGGCGCCCGAGGGGTCCGTGCCAAAGATCTCAATGTGCTGGACCTTGGGCATGCCCCACGAGGTCGTCGAGGTCACAAAGACGCGGTCAATGCGGCTGCCGTCCTTGCCGTTGATCGTCATGAGCGCGACGGGCTTGCCATCGACGAGGTGGAAGTCAATGACCTTGTCCGGCAGCGACGCGAGCACGACCTTGTAGTGGCCGGGCTTGCCCTCCATGGGCGACACGTTGACGCCGTACGCCGTGTTGCGCTCGACCATGTTGAGGCCCTCGCGGGGCACGCCCGCGTTCTCAAACATGATCCAGTCGACCTTGAGCGGGTCGGCCGCGTTGATCGAGCCGTCGGCGAGCAGGTTGGCCGCGTACGAGACCACGTTCTTGTTCTTGTTGCGGTGGATGACGAAGGCCAGGTTGGGCTCATGGCTGGCGCGGACCACGGGCACCGGGTCGTTCTGGACTTGGGCGTAGTCAAGGGACATGCTGCTGCTCGAGATGCTGGCAAATGCGGAATGAGCTGCCGCTTATTTGCTTATTGGCCTTGGCCGCGCTCCGTTGGTTTCAGACAGGTGCGCGGTGCAATTGCATATTTTGTACTTATATTTAATATGCACAATACCATTCTATACTTTAAATACATATACAATATGCATTACAATGGCCGAGATAGGGGACGACCGCCATGGGTTTAGGGACAACCTTGGCCGGCCCATGTGCATTCTTAAAATGCATATTTTGCACTACATGTGGGTATACAGCATACAAATACCAAGTGAGAAAATATGCAACTTGGGCGCGGAATGGCGATCTCGTGACGTGGAGCCGTTAAAACCGGATAACGGATGCGGAGGTTACGTGGCACTCGGTGTTTGTATGGAGAGGGCAAGCATCCGGATAGGCGGAGATATCTGCAACGTCCAAGAAGACGACGGGCGGCCTCGACGATGGCGGTTGCCGAGGAAGGTTGACGATGGAGGAAGCGCGAGTTCGATGGGAAGATGGAGGACGGTGGCGCTGGACGCGCGAGGTTGACGGCGGCTTGCGGAGGTCGGCGACGGGCGATCGCGAGAGGAGCGGATTAGGTACGGAGCGCAGCAACGGGATGGGCGACTTTGTGATCGAACGCAGGGCCATTACGCACAGCCTGCCACGCGTCGCGACGCCATGCGCCCTGGGGATGGCTTGGTCGGATGATGGCGATAGGCCCTCCCTCGCATCATACACGACGCCATGCTGCTACGCGGCGATGGGCACGCCACCGCTGCTAGCATGGACGTACTACTCCATGGATGCATAAAATCGTATCCTGTTACGACGTATTGTCTACTCGAAGGCGACGACGTCCACGCGCTGGTTGACCGCGTTGGCGTAGCACGTCCAGGTCTGCGCCGCCATGTTCGGATCCGTCGGGTCGATGTCCAAGCACAGGTTTGGGTGCGTCGCATGCTTGACTAGCCCGTTCCCGACGCTCCACTTTTGGTTGCCGTTGGACGCGTCGCAGGCGTACGTGTGGAGCGTGTAGCTACTGCCACCAACCAAGTACGCGTCGAGACACTGCCCGTTGCTGAACGACCGGAGGCCGCCGCCCGCGACTTGCTCCCAGAGCTCGGTCCAGCCGCCTGCTGGCGCTTTGGCGAGCACCGACGTGTACCACTCGGAGACGACGCGCTGCCGGGAGGTCACGAGCTGCACAAAGCTGCGGACGGTCGACGAAGTGCGGCAGTTGGTGGGCGAGATCCACTGCCGCACGGCGCTGGCGTCGCAGCGAGCGACCCCGATCGCGCTGGCACCTGCAACCGTCGTGAGGCAGATGCCGTGGGTGCGGTGCTGGACTTGGCCGTTGGCGATCGTCCAGCGCTGGTTGGCGTTGGATGCGTCACAGGCGTACGTGTGGAGGTGGTAGGACGCGCCGCCGTCACTGCTCCATGCGTCCAAGCACTGGCCGTTGCTGGCGACGCGGACCGCGCCGGTCGATTCGTCGTACTCGAACTGCTCGTTCGCGCTAAAGCTTGGCGACCCATAGTAGACGCCCGAGTAGTACTCGAAGACCGCGCGGTTCGAGATGGTGCAAAGTCGAATCGGTGTCGATGTCGGTGTCGGTGTCGGTGTAGTCGTCGGTGTCGGTGTCGGTGTAGTCGTCGGCGTCGGTGTCGGCGTTGGCGTTGCCATGATGGCATTCGGCGGCAGCGCGACGCCATTCGCTCGCAGATGCGCGAGGATGCTTGTGATCGGGATGCCGGCGTTGGATAGTGTGCTGGCGTCGCAGCCGCCGCAGTTGTGCAGCGCTATAACGCTGTTGTCTTTGGTGCTCAGGACGGGCGACCCCGACGAGCCGCCTTGCGTGTCGAGGAGGTACCCGACTTCGTTGCTCTGGCAGCTGTTGGCGACGTTCAGCGACACGATCGAGCCCGTCGCATTGCCTTCGACCACGGTCGCCATGCGCGTTGGCTTGCCGCCGGGATGCCCCACGAGCCAAATGGGCTCGTTGAGCACGGCTGTGCTATCGCGTGCTTGGAGGTACCCGTAGCTCGAGAGGTCCATGTCCAGGAGGAGGTTGAGCTTGACGAGCGAAAAGTCCAACTCGACGCTTGTCGCGATCAACTCGACGCTTGACGCGACGACCGTGCCCTTGCACGCCAGCTGCACGTTGTTGCTCGGGTTGTTGCAGGTCGCGCAGGCCGCACCGAGCTCGATTGACGTTGTCGCCGCAACCGCCGCCGTGCCAATGCAGTGGTTGTTGGTGAGCAGGTAGCCGTCCGCGCCAAAGAGCCAGCCCGTGCAGAGGCCCGAGCCGCCCATGCGCAGCCGCGCAACGGCCTTGGACGCCTTGGTCTTGGCCACGTCGCTGGCGTAGCACGCGGCTGGCTTGGACGCATCGCCCGTCGACGTGCAGATGGACTCGGTGCCACCGCCAGCGCCGCCCACAAAATACGTGTCAATGGTCACGATCGGCGCACTGCTGCTGTTCATAGAGTACGTTGGTGACGAGTAGTTGAGAAGGATCCGCGGCTGCGTAAAGACCGCCGAGTAGACGTCGCGGAGGTCGCCCGAGTACACGACCTTGTCGCGGCCATCCTCCGTGCCGATGGTCAGCGTCGCGCCGGGCGGGAGGTGCATCGACGCAATGTGCACCGAGAGCGACGTGGCGCGGTCGCTCGAGAGCACCTGCGTCACGGGGCCGCTGCCGTTGAGCGTGAGCGAGATGGGCACGGGCGTGCTAAACCGCAGCGCCGTCTGCGCCGAGACGGCGGCGAAGAGAAGACTTGGAAGCACTTGAAGCAGCGGTGTCATAGTGTACTAGTACGAGGAGCGACTGCAAGACGTGCGCGAAATCCAAAATTCAAAATGCAAGAAATGCGGTAGCCGCCGGGGCTCTGACGCGCAGCCGTTCGTTCTCAGCCCACACTGATGCAGGGATCAAAAGTCGCTCGATCTGGGCGGCCATCCTCGACCACCGAGTATCATTGTCGCGCTCGGCTTCTCCCCAAGCATCGCAGTGGCATGCCAGCAGTGGGGTCCGTGGTACGGCCATTACTACGCTCTCAAGAAGCACGTGAGTCACGTGCTGCTCGAGAGAAAGGCCAACGTCAGAGCACCGACGACAGCTGCGAACGAGGCACCCACCGACGCAGGAGCTGACCAGGAGCTGACGGCGCATGGCCTGGCAGAGTCGCCGCAACGAGCTACTTTTGGTGACGCGTCGGAGTGACAATTGCGTACTACCAGGTAGCCGATTTATGGTCTAGCGGAGTTCATTCGAAGACTGATTCCTCGCATGTGGCGTGCGTCCTCGTCGGCCTTGATGTCGCTTGTCAAGGCGTGGTATCACGCAGGTTGCTTCAGCAGCATGCTTCGTTGTCGCCGCACAATCGGACTTGGACATCGACGCCGCCGACAGAGGTATCACCGCTTGCGCAACCGCTGTCGGAGTCACTGGAGTTCCAGCGACTATAATACTCCTTGGCCAGCGACACCGAGGCTCACGAGGAATCACGAGGACGCACGTCGCACGCTTTGCGAGGAATCGATCCTAGAGAGCATTCGCTAGAAATATATATTGAAAAAAATCTGCTGGAATTTTATATTTGCCCGACACGTCGAGCGCGCGCCGCCTCCGATGTCTCCAGCCGAGGATGACTCTGATATGTAAGATAGGGAGCAGTGGTGTCGGAGTGATTATTGGTGTTGGTTGGCCGCCTGCTGATCGTCGCCAGGACGAGTGTTGGACTTTGGGACAACCTTGGCCTCTCCAAGGGTCCTTGGCGTCTCTTCCATCGCGCCTGTACTATTTACTACGTAGCGAGTAATCGTGCAGCAGACGTCGTTGGAAGCGCCAACAACGTCGGGCGTGGCCAGGCTAGCCAGCGATGTATCTTGCTTCAACATGGTTCGCAGCAGCTTCCAGTGCCTCACGTGGAGGGAGCCGGAAGGCTGATTCGAGCCGCTTGGAGGTTGTCAGTGTTGTCTGTGTTGTCTGTCAGGCTGTCTGGGTGATTTTGGTGATCCCGCCATGCGACGCAGTGCAGTCTGGAAACCTGATTGAGGACTGGTATCCACGAAGACGACGCATCTGCGTCCGAGCAAGTCCGTTGTCGCAACGTCCGACACGGAAGCGACGGTGGTCATCAGACGCGCGGCCATGTTCTGCTACGCTCTACGCGCGAGCTCTTATTACCTCCTTGCAGCACCTCAAGGCGTCTTGAATGTACTTCAACAAATATACGATCGGAGACTTGCATGCGAGGAGAAACTGCGTCCATGTGAATCTGGTGGCAATCTGGCCAAGAGCCGGCGACGTTCGATCTGGTTGCACGCGCTGCATAAGCGTTCTGCGCACCCACATGGTAATGGTACATACTCTGAGAGGTATCCAGGATGCCTTTTCGACCCACTCGATTCAATCCTACAACGTCCGGCCGCGGGGACACCAGCACCGATCGTCGTCGTCGGTCGCATTGTCTTCCTCTGCCACACCGCGCTCGTCCTGGCAAGACGGCGGCCCATCTGGCCCGACTCCAGCAACTCAGAAAGCGCCAGTGCCACCAAGTGTACAAAAACACATGTTGCAAAGGCAGTAACGCTCTCGCCCATTGCGCGTGTCCCGCAGCGCGTCCTTTCCGTCGCTCACTTTACCTTTTCCGTTGGTACACGCCAAGCAGCAGCACCTCAGCAGCAGCAGCAGTATGATGCGATTGGCGAAACTCACGTGCGCGCTCCTTGTCGCTGCCATGGCGTCGCCTGTCCCGCTTGACATTGGCGCCGACAATGCGCTCGCGCTCAGCGCCGACGGCTCCAAGCCCGTGAGCCAGATCATCGAGAGGTCGGGCGCCACGTACATCTCGGTCCACTTCTCCTCGATGAACCTCCCGGACGGCGCGTCGATCACGATCACGTCCCTCGACGGCAGCAAGAAGGTGTCGTACAACGGCAAGCACGACAACCTCTTCACGACGACGATCGATGCGGACCGCGTCGTCCTCACGTACTCGGCGCCGTCGTACGAAAAAGCCTCGAGCGGCAGCATCTTTGTCGTCGACAAGTTCATCTCTGGCACGGGCGGCTCCAAGAACCTCCTCGAGTCCATCTGCGGCACCGACAACTCCAAGCCGTCGCAGTGCTATGCGGAGAGTGAAAAACCAAGTTTGATACGAGCAAGGCCGTCGCGCGCCTCCTCATCAACGGCCGGTCGCTCTGCACGGGCTGGCTCATTGGCTCGGAGGGTCACATGATGACCAACTGGCACTGCATTCAAGACGCGGTCAAGGCCAAGAACGTCCAGGTCGAGTTTGCCGCCAAGTGCGCGACGTGCGACGACGCGAACAACACCGTGCAGCGCGGCTGCAAGGGTGACATCGTCGCCACCGACGTCGAGTTTATCGTCTCGGACAAGAAGACCGACTTTGCGCTCGTCAAACTCAATCTCAAGGACGGCGCGAACCTCAAGCAGTACGGCTACCTCAAGGTACGCCCGTCCGGCCCGATCCTCAACGAAGAGATCTACATCCCGCAGCACCCGAACGGCCACCCGCAGCATATGGCGCTTGTGGACGACAACGGCGCGGCCGGCAAGATCACCGACTTGAGCAGCGGGAGTTGCTACAACGACATCCCCGAGAAGGACTATGTCGGTCACCAGCTCGACACGCAAGGCGGATCGTCTGGCTCGCCGATGCTCAGTACCAAGGAAAACACCGTCGTCGCACTCCACAACTGCGGCGGCTGCAACAACGGCGGAATCAAGATGAACCGTATCGTCGACTTTCTCAAGTCCAAGAACATTCCGCTGCCCAAGGACGCGACCAGCGACGCGCCGACGTACGCGCCGACGTCTGCACCGACGACCCAGTCGCCGGCGCCGGCCAACACGATCTCGTTCTGCTCGATCTCGAACCGCGTGCTCTCCGAGTACTACCGGGGTCTGTACCAGGACACGCCCAAGGGCAACAAGAACGAACAGTTCGTCTACGACCAAGCGGCTGGCACGCTCGCGGTGCAGAGCAACGGTGAGTGCCTCGACGCGTATGCGGCGGACGCAGGCTTCAAGCTGCACACGTGGGCGTGCGACGCGACCAACGGCAACCAAAAGTGGATCGTCGCCAACAACCAGATCGTGCACAAGACCCACAACGTGTGCTTGACGTCGATCGCGGGCAAGAATGACGTGGCGCTCGCGGCGTGCGACTCCAACGACATTCGCCAGCGCTTCTCGACGAGCTGCAAGGACAAGAACGTGCGCAGCTACGTGCAGATCCGCACCAAGCGCGGCAAGTACATCTCCGAGTGGAACGGTGGCTTGTACGCCGACGTCGGGCGCAACAACGCGAACGAGCTCTTTGAGCTCGACAGCGCCAACCAGTGGATCAAGAGCGTGAGCAACAACGGGCAGTGCTGGGACGCGTACAAGGACAGCAATGGCGTCGGCCACCTCCACACGTACGCGTGCTCGACGGGCAACGCCAACCAAAAGTGGATCATCGCCAACGGCCAGATCAAGCACGCGACGCACGCCAACTTGTGCTTGGACGTGGACCCGAACGACGCCAACCACCGCGTTCAAGTCTGGGACTGCGGCCACAACAACGACAACCAGAAGTTTGACGTGCTCGTCTTCTAAGCCTGGATCGTCGTACGAGCCCCTTGATGTACATACTAGTAGATGACGATATGAATGAATGAAAATCTCGCATTCGGAGCTGGCGCGACGGCAGTCGCCTTATTTGTGGTAAACGTGTTAAATGTGATTAGATATGGCGTTTGCCACCAATAGTTGGGGCATCCATTTCTCGGGCCACACGCCTCGCGCAGCAACATGGTGTAGCGCGATGGACTTGCCAAAGTATCTTCCATCCCCATGCTGCGCGCGAGCAATGTCGATTTCAAAGCGATTTGGCCGAACCGATTGACCTGCCATCGGCCACGCCGACGATGGATCGTATCGGATTGGTTAAAATAAAATCAATTTGACCAATAAAACGCGACTACTGTGAAAATATGCGTCAGAACAAGCGCGCTTCGACGAGCTGCTTGCTGCTGGGCACCGCATCGAGGCACACTGCACTGCACTTGGCGCACCACGACAAGAAATCCTGCGCCAATGTATGCCCATACGTGCTCCTTTGCACACGCAAGGCAGGCTCGGAGCCTTCAAGACCGTAAGATTATTCGGTGGTGAAGTGCAACCGAGGCAAAGGCTCGTGGCGCCTGCAGTCGTACGGTACGCTGGTGAGAAGGGCCGCTTAGCCAGCGGCTAGAACCTCGGACTTGCATGGGTCGGACCGTATTTCACGCTGGTTTCCACGCCACGTGGGTTGGCCATCCTCGTCTTGTCGTACTCTGTGCAGTTTCGAAAAGCTCGTCGGCTCATATTAGCACCACGCATGTCAAGGTCGCGGAAAACAGACGCGTTTATGCCGGTCTCGCTCGCCACCCTCTGTAATGACTTTCGAATTTACTGCGACACGCCACGTAACTAGACCTCTAAATCGTTCATTTTCATTTCTCCGTCATGGCGCCTACATTGGCTGCCTCGCTACTCGCGCTGTGCCTCGCCACCGCTGCAGCGGTGGACCCATTGAACCTCGGCCTCGAGTACCCGCTGCATATCTACGGCAACGGGTCGGCCCCGTTCTCGCAGCTCATCGAACGCACCGGCGCGTCTTTCATTTCGGTGCATTTTGCATCGATGGACCTTCCGGCCGGTGCGAGTATCACGATCGCGTCGGTCGACGGCGCCAAAGAAGTGTCGTATGAAGGCCGCCACACGGATCTCTTCTCGGCGACCCTCGCAACGGACCGCGTCCGCCTCACGTACACCGCACCCATGTACGAAACGGCGGCCACCTCCGTGTTTGAGATCGACCACTTTATCACTGGCAAGCCCGCCTCCAAGCTCGAATCGGTGTGCGGTAAAGACAACTCGAAGCCGTCGACGTGCTACGCCGAGTCGGAAAGCACCAAGTTCAAAGCCAGCAAGGCCGTCGCGCGCCTCGTCATTGGCGGCCGCTTCTTCTGCACGGGCTGGCTCGTGGGCTCCGAGGGTCATATGATGACCAATTGGCACTGCATTCCAGACGCGGCCAAGGCGGCGAACGTCCAAGTCGAGTTTGGCGCGGTCTGCCCGAGCTGCGACGATGCGCGCAACGACCGTGCGCTGCAGTGCGACGGCGTCAAGGTGGCGTCGAGCGTCCACTTGCTCGCATCGAGCAAGCGCCACGACTTTGCACTTGTGCAGCTCAACACGACGGTGGACCTCGCGCCCTATGGCCACTTGCAGCTCCGCGCGTCCGGGCCGGTCCTCGACGAGACCGTGTACATTCCGCAGCACGCGTCCGGGCGGCCGCAGCGCCTAGCGATTCGCACCGACGACGACGCACCCGGCACGATCACGTCGCTGACAGAGCAGTCGTGCGACTATGCCGACGTGCTGGACGAAGACTTTGTCGGCCACCGCCTCGACACCCAAGGCGGCTCGTCCGGATCTCCGATTCTGAGCACGCTCGACAACGCGGTCGTCGCGATCCACAATTGTGGCAGCGACGACGGGTGCACGCGGCACACCAACGGCGGCGTTCGCATCGACAATGTTCTGGCCTTCTTGCGGGCCAACAACGTATCGCTCCCGGTCGATGCGATCGTCGGGGACCTCCCGTCGCCGACGCCGTCAACGCCGACTTCATCGACACCGACACTGACGACCGAGGCACCGACGACACCCTCGCCGACGACCGAAACCCCGATGACGCCAGAGCCGACCCCCTTGCCCTAGCCCCAGCCCTAACCGCCCCGCCAGGGTCGTGCAGATTCGCACCAAGCGTGGCAAGTACCTCTCCGAGTGGAACTCTGGCCTCTTTGCGGACGTGTGGCGAGGCAACTTGAACGAGCTCTTCGAGGTGGACGCAGCGACGCAGTCGATCAAGTCGATCAAGAACCAGCAGTGTTTGGACGCATACCGCGACCACCGCCACGGGCAGTATCGTCTCCACACGTACCCTTGTGCAGCGACCAACGACAACCAAAAGTGGATGATCGCAAATGGAAAGATCAAGCACGCGACGCACGACAATCTGTGCTTGGACGTCGACCCCACCAACGAGAACCATGTAGCGCAGGTGTGGGCGTGCTTCGACCACAACGACAACCAACGATTTGATGTTGTGTCGCTGGAGCCGTAAATATCAATAATGTATTAGAGTCCACTGTTTTCTTCTGGCAAATGCAAGGGATTGTGGATTGCATGTCGCATAGTCTGTACGAGCTCGTGCGTTTCGTATCAGATGTCGCCAGCGTCTGGAACACTAGATCACCTTACCAGTGTTCTCAGACTTGACGCACGCACGACAGAGTGGACCCGAAAGTGGGCTGCAGCTGTATACCGTGTAAATGAGTAAAGTGATCAAGTGATCACGACGAGCTCAAGCGCATCACACAGCAAGCGCCACCAATCAACGCAGCCAACTTCACTGCCTAAAACATATTGTTTGGACAAGAAGCCAACGTCAGGTTGGTCGTGTCGGGACGCGTGAAAATATCTTAACAACTCTCCTCCGTCCTGTCTAGATAGTTGACCGGATAGGCGTGCACGACTGTACGTACTCAGAAAATCAATCACTAATAACGACAAACATGGACTGCACGCCCGCCGACGCGCCCCGCCGACGCGCCCCGCCGACGCGCCCCGCCAAGGACACGCTTGCAGCTTCCGACTCGCCACCTGGGCGTCGACGACGACTTCTACGAGACGCCTGCTGCCGTAGCCTCCGCAGCCTAGCTTCGACTACCCGACGCCATCTTACCCAAGTACGCCGACTTCGTCTACCAAGCGATGCTCCACGCGGTCAAGTTCCGCACCCATTTGCACTGGCTCGACAGGGCCAACCAAGCGTGCCTCTTCTGCCCCGAGCACGAGACGTACCGCCACTTCCTCGTAGACTGCGACTTCATCAAGGACGTGTGGAGCACGCTTCACGCGGCCACAGCCCCATTGGGCGTGACCTTGCCGAGAACGCTCTCGGGCTACCTCTACTTGACGCCCAAGACGGCGTCCAACATGCACCAAGTCGCGTTCCGATACCTCCGGCCCGTGCTCCGCGCCTGCGTCTGGTGCAACGTCTGGCGAGTCCGGAACGATCGCGTCTTTCGCGCCGACCTACCACTACATCGACGATTGCCGTCAAGGCGGCGCGTGTCGCTCAACTGCATTTGCACCACAGCCTCGTTCAAGACCCCGAGCAGCCTGCTCTTCGTCGGCTTCTTCGGCTCCTCGCCCAACACGAGTGGCCGCGCCAGCACCTTGTACTGGGGATCGCGCTCCTGCCTCCGCCTGCCTAGATCATGTTCCTCAACCGAGTGCACACAACGAAGAAAGTCCGACAATTCTATTTAGAAAAGTTTTGTCTATTTAATAGACGACCCACGTCAACAACAACAAACATGGACTGCCTCAGGTCCAACAGCTGATTACATGAGCGGCTCAGGAGCGCACGAGTTGGCACACACATGTTGCCGTTCTGAGTACATTCCATCGCTGGAATGGGTACAGCCACCGTCAATGCACATGGTCAATGCACGGGTAAACGGTAAACACCCAAGTTCTCGTTGCTTGGCACGGGACACAAGCTCCTCTTCATACAATACACTGGGTAAATCGAATCTGACACGCGACTGGGAAAGGACCGCATCGGATCTGAGTTGGCACCCACAATGGAGCTTGCAGCGCGATCTCGCGCCGTTCACTCATTTTTTCTTTTGCCCCTTTCTACTCAACGACAACAATGCTCGACGTCACCAAGCTATTGACGCTACTTGCGTCCGTCGTTGCTGCGGCCCAGTGCGGCAACCAGGCATCGATCGAGATCGCGGTCAAGACGCCTTTGCACGTGGTGTCACATGGCGAGGCGGCGTTCAGCCAGATCGTCCAGCGCACCGGCGCGACGTTCGCAGCGCCTCACTTCAAGTCAATCAACGTGCCGGCCAACGGCAAGCTCACCATCACGTCGCTCGACGGCAAGGACGCCGTCGTCTTCAAGGGTGGCGAGTCCGCTACCAACGTGCGCGCCGACTGGCTCAGTGGCGCCGGCGTCGTCGTTGCGTACGAAGCCCCAACATACGTCAAGCAGGCGTCGCCGGTGTT